AGATGTGTTTAGATGAGTTAGTGTTTTATTTCTAGTCTGCATAGGAAAAACAGGCAGGCAGGGGTCTAAATGCATACCTAAGCTATAGAGCAGTTGCCAGAATGACATAGGGTTCTTCGTATAGGTAGCAAACCCTAAATATAAGTTTTGCAGGAGTGGTGTGAATGTTTGTGTGCACACAGGGGTCTTCAGAGCACGATCGCCTGAACAAATTCTGCTAAAGACTATTGGCTACTGATGAATACATAGTGTGTTAGTGAGATTCTGATCACATACTTGTAATTACTGTGAAGTGAACAAATGCAAGGTAAAACCTGGTGGTGTGGCATTAAAAGCTTCTGCTCATGCACTTCAGCACAAGTGAGACCCACTAGCTGGTGGGTTTGATGGCTGGCATGGAGCGGGCAGGTTGTGCTGTGTCGGGAGAGCAGATGTAGGCTGGAGGGAAGAGGAGCCAGGTCCCGTTAGCAGGGGAGGGGTATTGGGAGCGATTAGAGAGGACTCTAACCCCGCGTGGTAAATGTCCTTACAAAGCTGGCTGTGATCCTCTATCTACAGCTCTTCCATGCACATTTTAAAAACTTAGCTGGTTTATCATGTAGCACGTCTGGGAATATGCCCCTGCAATCTTCTAGAGAGAAATTGGAAACCTTTATTCCACTGTTTTTGAGGAGCTTTAAAGCTTGCTGTTTAACTTGTGCCTTCCAACTCCTGTAGGTAATGCATATGGATATTGGAGAAACAGAGCTGTATAACAAGAGGCCCAAGTTTAACTATATTAAAATTGAGCTTGCTAGTGGATGATTTTAGGATATAATGATCGCTACTGCGCCTTCTAACTTCCGTGATTGAATGTGGGGCTTGCACAGAGGATAGCTCTGCTTGAGATGGCTTGTTTGTCTCTGGGATAGAACAGTGAATGCCCAGATGAGAAATCTTGAAACTGCAAAAAGGGAGTAGGGTATTGAGTGGAAATTCAGGATTAAGTGTAAAAACTTCGTGCTGTTAAAACATGCTTTTTTTCCCCCCCCTTCTTTTACCAGAGGAGGTCAGCCTATTAATAATTTAAAAGGTTTATTTCATCATTGAAGTAAAATAATTGTTTTGAAGTGGTGAAAAAAAAGCTCAGGAACTTACTTGGTCAGCAGTTGAAGAACTGAATTAGGAAAATGGTTAACTCTTACATGTACTGAAGTTTGCTCCCTCTAGAGAGATAAAATTTGAAAGCAAGTCGTCTTTATAACCCTCTGTTTTCATTTCTTCTGCTTGGAAGAAACTTCTCTGTCATGTTTGGGCAACTATACACAAGAAGTGTGTTGGTGGGGATTTCTGTTTTCTATTATAGCACATAGCATGAGCTGTGGAAGACAAAAGATCAACTGTACATCTTTTTCCTGTAATTAATACTCCTCATTTATTTGGTTAACACTACGAAGCAAAATAAATTGACTGAAGTTATCTGACTCGTTGCGGCAAACACGTTCGCAAACCTTGAGCTCTGCAGCGGCGGAAGGTGTTTGCAGCCTGGATGGTAACACGGGTTGTGTAACAGCCTAACACCACTGCCATCACCAAGGTGTCCCTCTGAGACCGGATCAGGGATGTGTTGGGCGCTTTTTAAGGTGATCAGTAGCTTGATATCACTGTGTTGCATGATGGTAATTATGGGTTTGGATTCTTTTCCTTTTTAATTCTCTTCCTTTCTAGCTTATTTGCCTAAATAACCTTCCAAACTTCTGATGCAGGGTATAACCAAAGCTGCTACTTCCTAATCATTTTTAAACAGAACTTTATTCATCATTTAACTTGTCTTACTTTGCCAAATTACTAATAACATTTTTCATTTGCCAAACCAAGGTTCACTGACATCGGTCTGTAATCCTTTATTTTTTTTCTTGTTCATTCAGATGCAACCAAGAATGAGTAAGTGTTCTAGACACCGTTTCTAATAAATCACAAATGCATTAATAACCCTGGAATTTGCAAGGCGTGACCTAAGACACTAACAGCCACTAGATGTAGCAACTGGTGCTTAACACTGGAAATGTCCATTGTTAACACATTCCCAGGACATATTTTTAGGCTTACCGGGGGAAAATGTCATATAGTTGATAATCGGGTCTGTGTGAATTAACTGATGACCGATTTCTTCTGGGTGTTTTAAGTTGCCTGTTCCATTTTGTTCTCAAAAAAACCCCGTAGGATCTCTAATTAAAAGGCATTCATTTCTGAAACCAGGAATCAGTGTCTCAGCCGTATTTTTGTGTACTCTACTACAGAAAATATGCCTACAGATCTGTAGTCCTCTATACCCTCTAACGCTGCTGTTTGCAGTTAACTTCTCAGAAGGTGCATCCTTTCTGAGCCCTGTTTACATTGACGTTTAAAGCATTAGATCCATCTGTTTATCACTGTAAAGATTCCTCAGCTTAGTTTTTTACCAAGAGGAACTTGTCTTTCCCTGAAGCTTGAGAATTCAGCTGTTGTCCGTGTTGTGTAAATTCATTCTTTCAGGTGGAAAAAATTGCAAGAAGAAACCACCAGTGGATAAAGTAACTAATGATTTGTGTTCTAAGTCATGGCTGAAGGATAGAATTAAAAGTAAATTGACATTTAGATACTGTGGTTATAAGTCTAACAAAACCATTTTATATTACTTTTTTAAAGTATTTTGTGCTATATGGAGGAAACTCAAATTTTCATGTTCTTTAATTTCAAACCTAATTTCTTTTAAAAACAGGCTGAGACTATTTTCATACATTACTTCCGCTAGCTTACCTCGGATAATTTTAGTGCTTAAGATAAATCCCAGTGTATACCTGTCTGTCAGCCCATTTCTATAGAAAAACCCATGCAAGGGGAAAAAAGGGGGAACTTGCTATAAAGGGTAACTGAAACCATGTACCAAATGCCCAAAGTGGAAAACAGGAAATAGTTTCATAATCTCTTTACTCTCTACTTACCAGGAAAGTCCTAATAAACTCATAATGTCAATGTCTATTTAGCTGATAGAAGGTTTGTTGCTGAACCAGGAGGAGGGTGTGGGGATGGGTGGACGAAGAAGGGATGGGCTCTGGAGCTGGCTGGGGTGAGGAAAAACCCTCCCCTCTCCTGAACAGGTTTATGCCTGGTGAGCTGACAGCATCCTACTGTCCACTGTGAAGCCTGCCCGTGTCAAGTCCCGTACAGAAGGCATCTCCTTTTTCAAAAATGTCCTGCTTAATTGGTGGCAGCTCAGGAAATCTAACTGGAAATGTCCATCTAAGTTATTTAAAGTTGCTTTTGTTGGTTTGTACTGCTTTTTAAAGAAATGATTGATTCGAGCAGTCAGCTTGGTAAAATCGCCCTGCTTTTCTTTGCAAAAACAAGCACTGTCTTTTACCATTAACGATTGTACAGATGATAAAAGATGGCAGAAAGTTGTTGTGTTGCCGACAGATTATCTTGATACTGGCAAAAGCACCTACATTGTTCGTGGTGCCGAGTATTTTGATTTGGACAGCCATCAGGTGCCTTTAGTTTTGGTGGGGTTTTTTCCCCTCTAGGCCGTGACAGAGATAAACAGATGTTCAAAATATTGATTAGCACAATTTCAGTGTGTTACTGGGATAATTTAAAAAAAATAGAGCTGTAGGAGGAAACTTCAGTGTGTTATTGGGATAATTAAAAAAAAAAAATAGAGCTGTAGGAGGAAAAAGCACAAAGGCAGGCAGCTGGGTTGGTCAGAGGTTTGGAGTGGTTGCTGTGGTGGGAGGTTATTAGTCTTCAGCTTTGGAAAAAGCTACCAAGCATGAGTGGAGGACAGAGATTAATATGAAGGTATGTAAAGTCATGACTGGAGTGAGAACAGTTACTCAATTTTTTTTCTTTGCAACTTAAAGAATGGTCGGCATGCAACAAAGTGAACAGGAAGCAGATCTAAAATAAATAAAAGCACTTTGTAGTTTTCCAGCCAACGCCTAATTATATTGTGAAATTTGTTGCCACAGGATGTTTTGGATACTGAAAGTATGAATGGGTTCAAAAAAACATTAGACAGATTTACAAAGGGCAGGCCATTCACAGTTATTAAAGACACAGATCTGTGTGCAATCTCTGGCTTAGGAAGGCCCAAAGGCACTGGTGCTGAAAGCTAGAAGGGTATATTGGGACAGGATTTCTCAATGTCTCTTGTTCTGCTCTTTCTTTCTTCCTCAGGACCCATGGCTGTGTACATCCAGTTACAAGGGTAGATTAACCTTTCCTATGTTATGCTGCATGGGGGACTGTTTTTCTAGGTGTTTGACTTTGAATAGTTTCCTGTTAAGGATGAGTTTGAAAGGGAACAGATTATTTTGGAAAATCCTTGCCAGAAAAATTCTGAAGTTCATGTGATGTCAGTAAAGCTTTTCCTCTGTGGACGGCGGTTAACTCGTGTTTTCATCTCTCTCTGTTTGACGAGGTTGTGGCTGCATCCAAAGCCTAAAGGCTTCGCCTTTTCATTAGAAGGGGAAAAAACAGTCTCTTAACTCTGCCACACGATCCTTGAATCACTTTTATAAAGCCTCACTCTATAAGGAAACCGCCTTGTCCCGGTACAGTTGAATGCAGAAGTGTCTGTCTTAATGTTTGAAGAGAAGTGAGACTGGGGGTTTTTCCCCCAGGTTTTAGGAGGATAGACAAAAATCCACAAAAAGTTAAATGGAGGAGTTATGGTGTTCTACACTGCTTAAGGGTATGTTGCCACCTCGTGGGAATCCTCACATGGATAATATTGCTTTACACTGGCATCAGTATAATTATGTTCTTGTAAAAATGTTTTTAGGGTTCATCACTTAATTTCATTGAATTATTGTTCATTAGAAAGGTATTAACTTCCACCCTTTTTCTCTTGTAATTTTTCCTTTCCCTCTGCCTCTTAGTAAACAGCAAACATCTGTGATTTTACTGAGTAAATGATCTCTTAAAGTATGTTTAAAATGTGATCATTTTACTTTTATGTGTTCCTTTTCTCTTTTCAGGACAGCCCAGAAACTTGCAAGATCTATGCCGAATTAAAATCCGTCAGTGTATAGGCCTTCAAAACCTAAAACTACTTGATGAACTACCCATTGCCAAGGTCATGAAAGACTACTTAAAACACAAATTTGATGATATCTGATATCCATGAAGAGAAGAACTCTGAGCAAGATTAGTTATATTCCAGATACTGAAGAGGCTTGTTGCCTTGCACAAAGTATATCCTATGCAAATTCTGATTTTTCTGTGAAGTCAGAAGGCAGGTATACACTTCCTTGGGTTTTTTATACCACACGCTAGAAGGTCTTAATTTTTGGTTTCTTGGTCCAAGTTTACAAGGTCCAAGCTTTCTATACAATATTACATTTTAAAAATTACTGTTGGCTTTTTGTTTGTTTGTTTTCACATGAAGTGTGCAGACTTGCAGTGGAGATGGAAGGTAGCATCTCGAGGAAAGTGGTTGGTTTGAATTGGCATGCTGAGCAATTTTTTATGAAAATAAAGTTTGAAAGTCAAGGCACCGGTCCTGCAAAAGGATACCTGTAGAAAGACAGCCAGAGCCATGTTGTCTGTCAGGACTCTTGTCTCTGCCAGGGTGTATGTTTTTGCAGGATAGAGGGAAGAGTTGATAATCAACATGTCCTAGGGTACTGTAGAAATATACCTTGGAAATCAAAGGGAAAAAAAAATGCAGTTACCCTGTTCAATTTGAGGGTCTATATATTGGCTTATTTTATACTATTCTGTTCCTAATTACTGTAGTTGGGACATCCATAAAATTCAGGCCCTCTTCCTTCCTGATGTTCCCTGGTCAATGGATGGCTGTTTGTAAGTCTGTTTTTAACAGTGACAGTACACTACAAAGAGGCAAAGCCTCTGTGTTTTTTACATTAATTTAAGAGAAAACAAATTCAGATTTTTTTTTAAGCCAGTGTATTCTGTTTCTCATACAGTGCCTGCTGTGCAATAATCTTTCTGATGTGTTTTCTCGTGTGATTTCCTACACAGACACTATTCCTCAGTTAGTATCAGTGCATTATTTGTGAGAACAGGAGCTGCTGCCTCGCTGTAGTGTTCACGTGACATTACGGAAGCGATGCTGCCGTTGCTGTTCGATATTACCCCCTGAATTTCATGAATGTATAACCTGCTTTATTTCACTTTTGGTTGAAGTTTTATCTACGGGTTCTCAGCCAAATTGTGTCCACAAAAAAGACGAGATTGGCCAAATCCTTGTTTTAAAAGAAGTGACGGATTTTTTTTTAATTTATTGCTATGAAATTCAGTTTGTTTCAGGTTAGAAAATGGGAAGTGCACATAAGTTAAGAAGCATTCTATATGTGCACTAACAAGAAAAGCCCCATTCTTATTGCAAGTTTAAATTTTGCAGTTAACCTGAAAGCAGCAACTGAAAAGAGTACTAAAATTCGACTGCTGAGTGTGTTTTTCATACCAGGTATTAAAAAGATCTGTTAAGAATTTTGTTTCTGATCATAAAAAAAAATCTTGCTGTCAAAGAAAAGATTGGGCCAAAATGTGCAGTAGTTTCACTCTCCATTTTTTTTTAAGGGATTATGAAGTTGTCAGAAGGTTCTTGCCAGTTTCCTACTTTTGTTTTGCCATCCTACTGCCTCCGAAAGAGTCTCTCTAATATCTGGAGTGCTTTTGTACCAATTATATCAGTGGAAGCGGGGAGTTGAAAGGAACGGTGATGGCTTTTAAGTTTAACACTGTCACTTTCAAAATATTTAATATTAAAACCATGAAAAGCACGGTGAGGCAGGTATACTATTATTTGACTGTGCTAGTTCTTTTTAATGTCTTATAACCCTGTTTCCTTGAGCACGAACCTTATCACTGCTAATGGATGCACTGTAACTATGGCAAACCAAAAGGGTTGTCTCTCCCCGTTGTGCCTGGCATTGCATCAGGTTTCCAAACAATAAGTGATTTTGGAGATTCATGGCTCAGAGGATTCATAATGAGATGTTGAACCTTCTAACCTCCCACTTGTAGCAGTTCAACTCCAGCCTGCTTGAGCAGTGACCAAAAACTCGTGTCTCAGCAGCATGAGCGAGCAGGTATGTCCAACCTTTGTACCTTGTTGTACTTGCGGTGGTCACCTCCAGCCCGAAGCTGTAGTGCTTCCTCCAGGTTGTACGCAATGGTGGTGGCATTGTAGCAGGGACAACCTGAGAGCATGGGTGGGGTGTGCGAGTGAGCTTGCGTGCCTGGATGGGGTCTGTCGGCTCCTGTGGAAGCAAGATCGGCTGTTATGATCTTTAAGCTCTCCAGTGCTCGGACAGGACAGACGTTAAGAATTGACTGGCAGGTTTTAAGCATGAATCTTCAGTTTGGTGACATGAAATCAGAACCTTTAAAATTGGGTTGTTTTTTTTTTTTTAAATACTTAGTATTGTTCACTACATTTGTAAGTTGGTCTAAACCAATGTCCTTCCTCACTGAATTTTTACAGTAATATTTTCTAAGGTAATCTAGAGTATATTTTAGTTGCAATCTATATTAAGGCAAATTATTTGTTCTGTCTGTTGCTGTGACTGAAGAAAATTATGGAAGACTTTGTTGGTAACAAGAATGCTATTTAATGAAGAAATGTGTAATTCCATTATTTATTGTTTGAGGTTTGTTTTTTGGTTATTTCTTTTTAAGTAACTGACATCTAAAAGGAACACACATACATTTCAGGCCAGTAAAAACCCTTTCTTTTACGTTAATTTTCATACTATCCCTAAGGTGGAGAGAAGCCCTCTCCCTTTCTTAGAATGCAAAGCCATCCCTTGTACCTGGTTTCTCTGACCGTGATTCTGCAAAGCACTGCAGCACATGTATCTGAACCTACTGATAGTCCTGTTCACTATCTGTAGTTACACAGGTGCTCAAGTGCCAGTGAAGTATGATTATTCATTGCTAATCCTATCTAAATTTCAATAATGGGGATTTTGGTGGGTTTTTTATTACTTTAAATATTGTGCACAAAGTCTTTGAAGTACAAACTGAACTTTGTTTTTTTTTATTCGGACTAGGATTTGGAAGGAGAAGTGCATAATAGAGACTTGTTATGTAGCCTAGTTCTGTTACCTTAAAATTCACAGACGAACACTTTTAATAAACCTTAAAAAATTGGCAAATACACCAAAGAATCAATATGAGCAAAAGACTCTGATCATTAACAAACTGCAAACCTCATCCTTTAAAACAAAGCAGAAAGTTTTTGTAAATATTTATGTTTATAAATGTACAGCAGAGTAAGAGTGTTTTTTAGATTATTTAATTACCATATTTCTAAACTATTTACATTATAGACAATACTTGTTAGTTTGAAAAGCTCTTGAGTGTTTTATTTTTGGTTTGTTTTGGTTTTTTTTTTTAATTCATTATCACTCATGCTTGGAATAACTGTGGCTTCCTCGGGATAGCGTGGAAAATTCAGTTTTCTGGCTCTAGTTGGCAATCGTAGGAGAACACATGCGGACAAACTCATCAGAGAAATACCCCGAGGCAAAAGAGAATATGTAGCGTGTTGACCAGGGTGGACCTGGGCTAGATGAAAAAAATTGGATCTTACCTTTCTCAATTCAAACTGTCGAGAGCCCACCGTGACGTTGTGACGAGCAACTTGCAACCTGCCCACAAGTCTAGCTTCCATGCAGCGCTGTGTTACCAATATCATAATGTATTTTGTTCTTCCTTTGCAATGTAAGTTTTTTTGCTTTGGGTCAATTCCAGTTTAAAAAAAAAAGTTAAACCTGGTTCAAACCTCCTTTTGGTTCATGTTCTGTTTATTTCCAGTGTCATGTTTTAATAACACGCTGCCACTTTACACCTTTTCTCTCAATGTTTGTCTGTCTCTACTACTCCATTTCTTTGGTGCTCATGATTCTGGTAATGTGCCTGGTACTCAAATTTCCTCCCACTAATAGGAGGGCAGATGTCTCATGGATTGCAATGCTGTTTTTACCAGTGAATATAAGCATGAAACTTGCTCTAGAACTGCACTTCTGAAGGGGGAACAAACTGGTCTTTAGCTATGAGGAGTTGGGTTTTCCCTGCTCACATCCCAGTGCAGCCACTTGAGCGTTTTCTGAAAGGTTCACCTAGCCTCCTTCCTCCTCAAGTTCATGTACTAAGATACAAAAATGAACCAAATAGGGGTCATGTTTTGCAGCTGAATCTGGTGTCCACCTACTACTACTAAAAGTTGAATAAAGGGGATGTGAATATTCCTGGCACACAAATGGGAACTGGCAGCATTTGGTTTCAGTCATGAGAGTAATCTACAACCAAAAGTTGCAGTAAGTCTTTGAACCCTAAAAATTTGGAGAGGAAGAAGACTAGATTTAAAGACATTACTGCTAATGGGTAGTGGGGGGGGGGATAAAAAAAATGTTTTCCATTGCCCAGTAGTCAGCTATCCAGACATCACTGGGAGTACGTATGCTCTGCAACCATCAGTTGTGTTTCGAACTGTTGATGATGGTTACTGACAGACTGGCCAGACTGGGACTGGTGTGTTTACTGAATGCTGTGTTAAAGACTTTGTTCCTGTTTATGTATCAGATTTCCTGCTTGAGTGTTCACTTGTGAAATTTAAAACAATTAATGACTGATGTTACTACTCTAAAAAACCTGATTTGCAGGCTGTTGACAAATGATGCGTTTAGAATACACAACCTTTCCCTATATTGGTATGAGTGTGCGATGAGGAAGTGTACTTACCTCATGGGGCAAAACACTTTTTTTACCATAGTGTATAACAGAACTTTTGTACCTTTTGAAGACAAAAGTAATGGAGCTGATGAAAACAAGCTAAGAATAGGTTCTGCCATGCCCTTTCCCAACCAGCCTGGACTGAAGCATTTAAATTCTCTTTGTTCTAGTCTCTCCCTTGGTTGGAGCTACCACCACCTCAAATGTTTTATGCTGTTTGTTGAAACTGGAGTGGTATTTAGAGGCTGAAGATTGTTCATTCCCTATATCACTGTCATACTGAATCTCTTCTGTATGATTCTGCTTCTTGACTTGTGTTATTGGCCAAAGTAAAGCTCAACATGTGATTTTAATCCCATGACAATAAGAACATAAACCAGATATATATGTTGCTTTATGAAACCATGCTACCAGGAGTTCTTCAGCCAGTGAATTCCCCAGGGATCCACAACATGCAGCTGGAATAGCAAAAAGTTGGGATTGAAAGCTGCGTTGACTTTTATTGGGAAATCTCCAGCTGTCTAGCGCAGAAATCAGAACTCCAGCTGTTTTCCTCCACATCTGGGATCTCTAGTGCTGCTGACTGCTGTTTGTGGGGTCCCAGGTAAGTTTTGAATGCCATTAAGGCTTGTCTTCATGTTTGCGAGAAGGATGTTTGACACATCTACAGAGGGTACTTGTGAAGGGTCTGAAAGCATTTCTGACTTCTCCAAGCT